TTGAGTTGTTTTTAGTGAGGTGGATGGACCTAGAGCCTGTCATACAGAGTGAAGTAAGTCAGAAAAAGAAAAACATGTACTGTATGCTAACATACATATGGAATCTAAAAAAAAAAAAAAGAAATTGCTTCTGAAGAACCTAGGAGCAGGACAGAAATAAAGACACAGATGTAGAGAATGGACTTGAGGACATATGGAGGGGGAAGGGTAAGCTGGGACAAAGTGAGAGAGTGGCATTGACATATATACACTACCAAATGTAAAATAGATAGCTAGTGAGAAACAGCCATGTAGCACAGGGAGATCAGCTCGGTGCTTTGTGTCCACCTAGAGGTGGGATAGGGAGGGTGGGAGGGAGATGCAAGAGGGAGGAGATATGGGGATATATGTGTATGTATAGCTGATTCACTTTTTTATAAAGCAGAAACTAACACACCATTGTAAAGCAATTATACTCCAATAAAGATGTCAAAATAAATAAATAAAAGACACAGGTTCATATGCCACCTCTATCACTTTCGAGGCACAAGGCTCTGGGTCAATTATGCAAACTCTGCTTTTTTCAGTTTCCTGTTAAATATGTGTCGAGTTGTGCTTTGACCTTGCAGGGATGTGGTGGGGGTTATTGACAGTAAATAAGTACACTGTACGGTGCACAGGGTATGCTGGGAAATAAAATGCTAGTTGCTTTTGTAAAGGGGAGAATGCAACAGCCTGTTTGCTAGTATAGTTAGTTGGGACATTAGTTTCCTCTTCTAGACTGTAAACAGAATTTGTCTAATTCTTCTTTAAGCTCAATCTCTGCCCTTCTTCATGCCAGTACACACATGGGAGCAGCCCCCAGAATGTTAGAATGAATGAACAAATGAACGAATGAATGAGAATATCCCAGCCCTCATTGCCTGTTAAAGCGTCCCACCAAGTGCTGGAGCTATTGACGCCCACCCTTTACTTTAAAACAGCTCTGGGCAGAAGTCACCAAGTGAGTCTGAGTTTCAGACAACCCCAGACAAACCCTCCTGCTTCTCTGATTCAAGGGTCCTGATCCCACCTGCTGCCTGTTCCTGCCCTCTGAGAGAAGCCCATCGGGAGCTACAGAAGAATCTGAGGAGGATGACAGTTTGAATTCACAGGCCGTTCTGAGGTTTTTGTTGGCAATGAAGAGTTGGGAGTTTTCACCCCAATTTTTTTCTTTCTTATTTCTGCAGTATATTGGAAAAGGTTCCAGCCAAGAGAGCTATTGCTTTCTCCTTGCCTAGATCTTAAATCTTTGTTCAAAGACAGCTTGTTTTCATTGAAAATGTTCAGTCAGTCTCTTCACTCCTGTCACCCATGTCTCATTTCTTGACTCCAGCAGGGCCAGTGCAGTAACTAATCTGGAGTGAGGCTCTCAGGGCTTAGGAAATATGTAATACTATTGGAAAGAGAAAGAGGGTTGTCCCTGACAATTCCCACCTTTAAAACGCTGTCTTTTAAACAGAGCTTGCTAAAATGATCAGCACCCCACTGCGGGACATTTTACTGCAACAGCCCAACTCCTCCACCTTGTAGAGCCCAGGAGTATCGAGTACCAAGGAGATCTCCTAGGCTTGCTTCCAGTCTGGGAGAGTCTGGCGTCCACTGCAGGTCAGGAGGAAGGGTTCAGGCTTCCCTCTGGCCCCATTCATGCACTTACTTAGTCAGCGCCCACGTGTTAGTGACATACCTCACCACCGTAATCCTGTGAGGCAGCCATTGTTATTCACATTTTACAGGTGAGGAAATGAGGGCTCAGGGAGATGGGAAAAGCTCTGCAGGGCCACGCTGTGTCTCAGTTCTCCTCTGCTGCGTAACAAATCTCCCCCAAACTTAGTGTTTAAAACCACAGCTATTCTCTCTTGTTTTCTGTGGGTCAGAAATTTGGGAAGGGCTCCCCTGAGTACTCTTAGCTTGGCATCTCTGACGCAGTGACAGTGAGACAGTGGCTGGAGCTGGAGCTGGAGCAGTAGTGTGCTGGAGGAGCTGCTGCGGGCTGGCCAGGAATCTCTCTCTAAAGTAATCTCTCCACAAAGTCTCAGGGCCTCTCCCTGCAGCCCCTCCATGGGCTAGTTTGGGCTTCCTCACAGCATGCTGGCCTCAGGGCAGTCAGACAGCATGCCTGGAAGTTCAGGGCCCCAGCTGGAACATTCGAGCAGGAAAGGTGCAAGTTATATCTGTTTTTCTGGCCTCTCCTCAGAAGTCCCACACTGTCACTTCTGCCATTCCTCTGGTGGCAAGTGAGTCACAAAGCCCACTCAGCTTCAGAGAGAGGGGATACCGATGCCACCTCTCAGTGGAGGGAGTGTCAAGGTCACATCATAGAATAAGAGGTGAGATGGGAGACATTGTTGCAGACATCTTTGGAAAGTACAATCTGCCCCACACAGCACGTGGCCGAGCCAGGATTCGGAATCGGATTAGGTACATTTGATTCCAAAACTTCTACTACAATCTTTCAGCCCTGTCCACAGGAACCTCTCCCTTCCTCTGTGCCCCTGTTGCTCTTACTGTTTTGTTTGTTTGTTTTTGGCTGCACTGGGTCTTCGTTGCTGCGTGCGGGCTTTCTCTAGTTGTGGTGAGCGGAGGCTACTCTTCGTTGTGGCACATGGGCTTCTCATTGCGGTGGCTTCTCTTGTTGCAGAGCACAGGCTCTAGGTGCACGGGATCAGTAGTTGTGGCACGTGGACTTCAGTAGTTGTGGCTCACGGACTCTAGAGCGCAGGCTCAGTAGTTGTAGCGCACGGGCTTAGTTGCTCCACAGCATGTGGGATCTTCCCGGACCAGGGCTCGAACCCGTGTCTCCTGCATTGGCAGGTGGACTCTTAACCACTGTGCCACCAGGGAAGCCCTGCAGCTCTTACTGTTGACACACGCAATGGTGATTTGGTCACCCCAAGCCAGCTAGAGCCTGGCTAGGTTGAAGCAGCCAGCCACTTCTGCAGGCCCTGGTGGCGAGACTGCCTCAAGGTCTGCTGGTCAGAGAGCCCATGCCTGACACCAGCTTGTGAACTTTTTAAAGGAGGGGACAGAGAAGGTCGGTCACAACCAGAGGAAGAAAGCAGGTGGCAGCCCCAGAGCACAGCAAGCCTGCGGCACGTCTCACTGTCTTAAACAACTCGTCTGGCATTTCTCCTTCTCCCACCAGGCACTGGCCTGGGATGACTCAGCCCTTGACAGAAAAGGTGCTTTCAAGTTGGGAAACAGCCCAGAGTGGTGGAAAGCTCACGGTTCTGGAGTCAGACACTCCCAAATTGGAGTCTTGACTCTACCATTTCCAGTTATATAGCTTTGGACAAGTTTCTTAACCTCCCAGAGCAAAGGGGAGATAAAAATGCCTTCCTCCCTGGGTTTTTTAAAATGCATATGTAAGCAAAGCGCCCGTGTGATGCCAGGCATTACATAAATGCTGGTGTTCACGTCCTGGGCCACATCCAACCCCAGCTTGGAGACATCTTGAAGAGAGTGGTGAGAACTCACTCAACTGTCCACAGATGCTAGCCCACCTCCATGAGCCTGGGTAGAATGGTGGCTGAGTGGTACCCAGTGAAGGGGCAACTAAACTGAGGTGTCTGGAAGCTGAGAAGGAGTCTGCCCTGTAAGGCCTGTGGGCAGAGGGGAGAGTGGTCTGGGAAGATGGAATGGAATGGACAAAGGTCTGGAGGTAGAAGAAGTTCAGTATCACTGGAGCGTGAAGGTCGAGGGGTGGAAGGTGGGAGGCAACAAACACAAAGCTGAGACCTAACTACAAAGGACCCGGTAGATCAAGTTCCAAAATTTGAACCTTACAGGCAACTGGGAGCCACTAAAGTGTTTTACTCAGCTGGGTAGCGTCGTCAGATCTGCGTTTTAGAATAACTACCCTCCCACCGCACCCCCACTAGCAAAGTTATAGAAAATGGAGTAGAGGCAGGCACTCTTATGGCAGGAAGGCCATTAGGACAGGATGACAGCAATTCAAGGAAAAGATGGTGCTGGCCTTTTCTAGGGGAACAGCAGGGACCTGGAGAAAAGTGGAGAAACCAAAGAGATAGGAGGTCCCTTGGGTAAGAGTTGGTGATGGCTTGGACGTTCAGAGCTGAGAGATATGAGATAAAAGATAAGTGCTTTGAATGAAGTCAGTTCAGAAGCCACGGAAGTAGGGGGCAAGGGCACCAATCATAGACCTGGGAGAGGAGTACTGTGGGAGGCTTTACTAAAGAGACATCACCTAACTGGAGAATTGATAGTTAAAACTTAGCCAAAGGGAAGGGGAAGGCGCTTCAGGGAGAGGAGACAGCTCACGTGAAGCCCCAGAGTTATAGATAATAATAGATAATACATAGAGCATGTGCTCCATGTTGTTGAATAGATCATTGCTGTGCTAATTTATACTAAAATGTTAATGGTCAATATGGAATTGACCCTTTTCCCCTCCCCAGGGAGTTTGTACTTTAACAGGTCAAGAACGCTTACCCTAAGGATTCGTAATTGGTGGATTTCAAGGTGGAACGGGGATACTGTTTAGGGTGAGAGGGTTTTATCATTGTCCCCAAGGTTACCAAAGTAGGTGACTAATCCCCGGGGTCAAGTAGGCCCTGGTCTATATGCAACAAAGGGTCTCTTGCCCTCGAGTCTTGCTTATCTGCCTCCACCCCAAGCCACCTGAAGGCAGACCATGGAAGCCCAGTGATTCCCAAAGGGGTGCAGTAGGTTCTAAAAGCTCTGAACACAGGCTTCGGGGTAAGACTACCTAGACCCATATCCTGGCTCCTCTCCTTCCCAGTTCTGTGACCTTGGGCAAATTATTGGACTTCTCCACATCTCAGTTTCCTCATCTGGAAAATGAGGAAAATAATAGTATCTATCAATAATATTTAAGGTTTCGTGAAAATCAAAAAAGACAGTCCATACAACACTTAGAAGAGTGAGTGGTGATACTGTTTTGTGACTGTTCTCACTTTTCTTACTAGTCCAGAGTTGCTCCTTAACACCCACCCTTGCAGATATGAAGCTGGGGCGGAACGTGGCGAGAACGTTTTTGGATTATTACCGGCTGAACCCCATGGTGGAGAAAGTGACGATCCCCATGCCAAGGCTGCGGTAAGTGCTGAGCAGAGCAGCAGGGCCTTGCGTCCTGCTTAACTGGCTTCTTGCTAGGGGCAGCTTCGCTTAGCCTCTCTCTGTCCCTCGGTTTCCCATCTGTGTCACGGGAAAGATGATTGGCCCTGCCACAGAGAGTGTACGGAGCAGAAGGGCTTAACAGCACATTTCCTGAGTTGAAGTATAATTATGGGGTCAGACAGTGAGGGGTTGGTCACATTTCTGGGTCTAACATGGGAACCGACAGGGATGGAAGTTGCTGGGAGGCTGAGTCCAGCCACTGTTCCAAGCTAGTCTGGGTGTTTCCATATGCTACTTCATCTGATAGCTCCTATGTCATCTAGGCTCATAAGGTCTCTGATCCTTCAATTTCCTCATCTGTAAAGTGGGGACAGTGGTGCTCACTTAGAAGATTATTAAGAGATGTGTGTTAGAGCACCCTGCACAGTGCCAGGCACGTATGTACCCCGAGCACATGAGAGTCCCCTTCTATCAAGATGCAAAGCCTCAGGGCTGAGAAGACACATCCCTTAGAAGTTTCCCCTCAGGTCCTCTGCTGGGGCCAAGTTCTTGAGCTGGTGAAGAAAGAAGGTTAGGAGATGAGTGTCCTTCCTGAGGGCTGGACCAGAGCCCAGAGTGCTGGATATTCCCATGACTGCTGGCGGTGAGCCCAGTGAGCATTTGGTCAGTGACACCCAGTGGCATCTGGAATGTGCTGGCCCCGTCCTACCTCTTGACCTCATCTCCTACTCTCCTAGTGGTCCAGCTTCCTTGAAGGACATGACGACATCCAACTTACTGCTCCTGCCAAACCAGTCTTCCCACTGACCTTGCCCATGACCTTGCCCAAATGCTTTGCTGTCTCAGGGCTTTTGCCCTGATGCACCTTCCTCCCTACCTGTTATTAACAAAACACAGTGTTAATCACTACTATTTATTGAGCAAAGTACTTTTTGTATATGGTCTTATTCAGTCCTCCTAGACAATTTATTCCTCATATTACAAATGCGGAAAAGGAAGCTCAGAAAGGTGACGAGAATTGCCTGAGGTCAAAGATATTTTGGCAGAGGCAGAATTTGATCCTAGGCGTTTATGATTCTAAAGCTGGACTGAAGTCCAGCTAAGCTCCACCTCAGTGTGGGTTCAAATTCTGTCTCAAGCTCATGCTAGCTTGTGAGATATTAGGCAAGCTTCCTGGCCTCATGAAACCTTTCTCCTCCTACCTAAAGTGGGCGTAATAAGGATGGTTTTAAAAATTAGATACAAGCGTGCTGTAGTGCCTGGCCGCCAGTAGGTGTTCAATAAATGTTTCCATCTCCTCTGGCTTCTGGGGTGCAGTCCCAGATTTCCAGACAGCTCGTCACAGCCTGGGGCAAGTCCCTGGTCTTCTCTGGTTGGGCTGGATGATCTTTCAGGACCCACGTCCCATCAGGCTGGGAGTCCCACCTCTTGAATCCCAGCTCCACAAGGAATCTGCAACACAATGTACTCTGACTCATACTTTGTCTCAGGTTGTTCCCCCCGATCCTGGTGGATTAGTCTTCAGAAGGAGCATCTGTGTTTCTTCTCTGTGCTCCCACAGTGCCTAGGCTGTACTGAGCATGCGTGCATGTTACATCCCTTCATTCACTCATTTAGGGAAAACGACACTTTGTGCCAAGTGTCTGGGCAGAGGGGGTGCTTGAACGAGTAAATGATTAAGGCGTGACCCCGACGTTGAAGAGCTCACCTCTAGAGAATGGTGCTCAATTCATCCTTAGAAGTCATTGGTTATGTTCTTAAAAATTTAAAGCTCTGTAAAACTCAAAAGAATTGTTAGAATCTCATTTACAAGTTAATTTGGGGATTGTCTCTTTCAGGTCCTCTGTCAGCCTGAATAAAATTATCCGGACCCTTTCCCACTTTGTTCTTGAATGTTGCATTGTCAGTAAAATGGTGCTGACACCCAGGGAGAGTAGCCATCATCATGATGCAGATGAGGTGTTGAGACCCAGGGAGCAGACAGGATTGGTCACAGCCATGGCTGGAGCCAGGCCCCACCATCCCCAGCCTGGTGTTCTCAGCATCAGTTAGTGAAGAGTTCTTTGAGATGGGGGAGGCAGGACCCTGAAACTGGGTCTAAAGCATTCAGGGGAGTTCGGGGCCCTGCTCATGGGACCTCATTTCCCTGAGCTTTGCAGCCCTCGTTAGAGAAGAGCTGGAGAGCTCATTCCTCAAAGTTCATAGCCTTGAGGACTTGTGGTAAATGCGCCCACCCTTCGCCTAAGAAAAACAAAATAAAAACTCTCTCCATCCCCACATCTCTACCTCATCAAACTATGAATATGTCTTAGCTCTCAACTGGTCAGCAGTTCTTGAAGAAATGAATCTCAGGAGGATACAAGGCTCTGATGTGGGACTTGAATACTTCCCAATTTTTGTATTATTTTCCACCCAAGTATCAAATAACATACATGAAAGAGCAGTTCTGCTTTTAAAGGAAAATTGTATGTTTTGACTCAAAATTAATCTTTGTTTTCTCTCATGTCTACGGATAATTATACTGTGTCAGTTTCCACCCACGTGCTGGAAGGAGCCTGTCAGCATCTCTGGGTGCTGTACCACCCTTTGGGGAAGGTCCCTGGGGAGGCCAGGATGTGGGCCTGAGAGTGCAGGCTCAGGGACATGGCGTTGATGACCAGAGCTGAGACCCCGCGCTTATCTCGACCACAGTGACACAGAATGCCCCAGCGAGGTGCATACAAAGTAGACAGGGGAAATGAGCAGGCCAGGTTATCCTCTGTGCGGCGACAGAGCATGAGCACGGAGGGTGGGCCTCTAAGTGTAAGGTGGCCTCAGGCTCAGTGCCGGTGGGCTGCCTCCACGCTGGGGTTTGGGTATGTGTGCGGGGCGTGGGAGTGGGAATCATCAGCTCTGCATCACACTGGAGCCCACCACGTGGCAGGCCCTGCAGTGAATGCTGGGGGAACGTAGATAACCTTTGCCCATCAGGAGCTCAGATTCACAGAGGAGAAAGCATGTACACATGCAAAGATAGCAAACAGTACTGAGCAATGTGTAAATGTGCTCAGTTACCTATCAGATTGTGCCCTCTTTCAAAACACCGTCCATGGCTTCCCATTTCAGTTCATCTTCTGGCTGTTCAAGGCCCTGGCCTACATTTAAAACTTCATGTGCAGCCTCCTAGCACACACCTTTCCCTTGTGAGCACCTTCTCCACCCCACCTGCTTTCTACCACTTTATACCCCAGTCAGCAAGTCATACTTCCATGTTCATCCTTTTCCTTCTTTCTGGAATGTTCTCCCTTACTGTCTGTAGATGACAAATGCCGACTTATCTTTCAAAGCCCAGTCCAGACATCATACCTCTGTGTTTTTGTCCTTGCTCTCCACCTGAGGTAGAGCTCCTTCCTCTCTGCTGGATCCCGAACTGATTTTGCACACACGTGTGCATGGTACGTCCCATAACGTATTGTCACAGCATCTTTGCATGCTGTGACATCTTTGCATGTCTGGCTCCTCCACTAGATGGGCTGCTCCTTGAGGAATTATTTTATCACTCCTGTATCCTTAGTGCCAGGTGCAGAGCCTAGCCGGGTATAGGTCCTAAATAAGCCCTAAGTGTATGAATTATAAAATGGTAGAACTGAAGAAGCCCCTAAGAATCATCTACTTCAACCCCTTCTTGTTATAGTGAAAAGTGAGACCCAATCAGAAATTACTCTCCCACACCATCTGGCAAACATTCGGCAGCCAGCAGGAGTATCCCAGGAGGGCTTCATGGACAAAGTGGGGCTTGAACTTGGTTTCAAAGGACATGTAGAATTCCAATGGATGAAACAGAAAGAGGAGAGAGGGCATTCCAGGTTGAGGGAAAGGTTGTAAAAGGCAGGGAGCCGAACCTGAAAAGACACTTTCTAAGGCAATGACAGGCCAGGATGTTTAGGGCAATAGAGGTGATACAGATGGGACTAAACATTCATTCAATTCATCAAACAACCTTCAAGCATCTACTCCATACCACTCAGGAATTGTAGAGCAAAATCAAATGCATCCAACCCACAGTCCCGTGAGAAAAATAGCTGGGCAAAAACTCCCTAGAAAGTGGTGTACTAAGAGATTAGGCACAAAGTGCTGCAGAGGCCTCTGGAAGAGAGAGGCTTACTTTCTGGGGAGTCAGCTTCCCAAAGGAGGTGAGTCTGGAGGGCACGATGGGAAAAGGAGCATCTCTGTGGGGCCCAGGTGTGAGATGCTTGCCTACCAGTGCCTCTCTCTGTGCCCCCATCTTGAGCTGCAGGTGCTCTTTGGCTCTGTAATGGCCCCAGAGTCATTCTGCACGTTCACACTCCTCCCCAGCCACTGCACACCCTCTCCTCACGCACACCATCTGCCTGGGGCTGCCCCACCTGTGATCATACCTGGGCTTCACCCGCAAAGAAACAAACCCATCTTATTTCCCATGCTTCCTTTGGGTGTGAGGACCCGCACTCTCAGTGACATATGAATGACACCTTGTAATTGGCAAAACTCTTCCCCAACCCCATTTACCAGAGCCTATGATGCAGGAAGGACATGGGCTCTACTATTTTAGAAATGAAGAAACAGAGGCTAGAGGAAAAAGGGACTTCTTCAAGATCACGTCGCCTGTAAACAACATTCCAGCATATGTTCCAGGCTGTTGATGGGTACTAAGATCTAGGTGTACCTCACCCATGCTAGATGGCCTTCCTATGTTAGCAAGGTCCCTCATGAGTGTGGAATTTTAGACAGTGAGGCTTCCTGGTAGAGGAGCTACATTAGGGCAAGGTGTCCCTTTTGTGTGCTGCCACCTGTTCTGTCTTTACCTTATTCATGACTCATCGGCAATGAAGGAAAATGATACTCCAGGGTCAGAGCATCATGGGTTATAAGAAGTCACATCTTGAATCCTAAATCAAACAGCCCAAGAGATTCCCATATTTGTGGCATTACCATTTTCTTCCATGCATTATAGTTCTTTATTATTTTGTGTAATTATTTTGTATAACTGTCTCCTCTACTAAACTGTAAGCAGCCTGAGGACAGCATCAACGTCTGACTCAACTTTGTCATCTCCAGAGTACAGTGGACCATACCTAGCACCTAGCACCTAGCACCATGCCTTTGTAAGTTATAGTAGGCAAAGGAAGATGCTAGGTGAGTTTATTCATATTATCTCATTTAACCTCACACCACCCTCCAAGATTGGAATATTTTATCCTCGTTTTGTAAATGAAAGTCAGAGAAGTTAAACAACTTGCTCAAGGTCGTCCCTCTCATATATGGCTGACCAGAGAATTCAGTTCAGTTCTTTCTGGATTGGCTAATCTTTCCGCTGCAAATAAATCTTAACCCAATGCTTGAATGAATGGCACATCAGTTTGTCACTCAACAACATAACACACAAACAAGGCCCCGTATGAGGAAAAATGCAAACTGGATAAACTGGGTCCCTGCCTATCAGAAGCTCATAGCCTAGTGTGTGAGCAGAACAGACAGTGAATAATTGCTGAAGAGTAGTGTTAAAGGTATTGCATTGGGTGCTGGGTGCTGGGATACAGAGATGAACTAGACACATCTCTGCCTTCAGAGAGCCCCCAAGATTGTAGGGGAAACAGACCCACCATGAAATGCCATAATTAGGCTATACTGAGAAATATAAAGGGAACTCTGGAGCCCATGATGGTTATGAAGGGAATGAGCTCCCTGGATCTGCCAAGCTGCAATTCATCTATGGGTTCATGCCCATCCCGTTGTGAAATGGATAGAATGAGTTAGAATCAAGTTGGAAGTGTGGAAGACTTGTAACTATAGGACAGTTAGGTTTTCTCCAGAACCAGAATGATACAACGTATCCATCCATTCATCTAACAGTTATTCCATTGAGTCATGCTGCCTGCTTTGAACCAGGCCCTGGGCTGGGTTCCTGGGATGCAGAGAAGAGGAAGTCAAGGCCACTGCTCCTAGGAGGTCACAGTCCAGTGGGGGGAGATAGACATGCACACAAATGATTGCAGTACAGCGTGTATATGTGCTGTCTTTCTTCTCTCTTTCTGTTATCTCCCCCTTTACAGGAAAGAACGCCCCCCCTACAAGCACCCACTCCTGCGGGGCCCAGCCAGCAGCCACCCCAACAGCAAAGGGGGCAAGAAGAGCTCAGTGAACCACAAAGACCCTTCAAACTCTTTTTAAGGACGTGGAGTCCGGGGAGGTCTTGTGGTGGCAGGAGCATGCATTTTCTGCTGGGGCATGAAATTAATCACCCTTCTCTAGTTTCCAAGATAATGGCTGTGAGATAATGTATAAGCTAGTGAAAGGGAAGGGAAAACATGAGAAATTTCATCATCGATTTTCCCTTTTACCAGTGGAAAATCAATTGTGAGCCTTCACCTTCAGGCTTAAGAACAAAATAGGAGATTCAAACCAGATGAGTACAGATGCTATTTTCCACAACATAGAGACCCTCACAGGAAGAGAAAACCCACACGTCCCTTCTCAGGTCACTGCTTTCCAGCCCCTTTACTGTTCTAAGTTGTGCCGTTACTACAGATGTTTACCTTTTAGACTAGGCTACAGTTTTCGCTTTTAGAAGTGCGGTGTCCACATTTGCTGACCCAGAACAATAACAACAACACGTACAACGCGAAGACAAATGCACTGTTGGGAACAATGGGACAGAATTTTTGAGATCACGATGGTCTTAGACATACGGTTAATTTATGAGCTGCATGCTCCCTGACTCCCCTAAACCCCAGCATGCAACTTCAGAAAACTGCTCTGAGCGCTATGTCCCAATGACCTGGGTCGTTTCATTGAAACTTTAGCTCCTAAAACAAAAAGTAATAGACACACATTCCAAAAGGTCTCTCATGGTTAAGATCTCTAGATCTTGGTGTCTGAGATCAAACCTGACCACTGAAGACAAGGACATGGAAAATCTGCAACAGGGGGGAGGAGGCAGACCGCCAGGGACAGGAGATGCAAAAGACAAAAGGATGCACTCTGAGGCAGGTGGGGATGACAAAGTAAAACAACAGCAGGGGCAATTCCCAAGGTGGACCAAGCTCAAAATTGTGCATTTTTCTACGGAGTAAAGTGCCTTTCATGATGAATGGGTCCAGGGGAGTCGGCTCCCTGCCTGTCTGTGAAGCAGCAGGCTGAGTCACCATGACAGCCTGCTAATTAAAATGACCTCCCGGAAATAAGGATTAGGAGATAGGGAGAGAAAGAGAGGCTCAAGGGAGGGAGGGCCTTTAGCACAAAGCTTCAGTTTAGCATTCTTTTGTTTTGGGTTGGAGATTTTCAAACTTTGTTGCAAAAATTGAGAGCAAAGCTTATGCTCCCTTTGCTTATTGCTTTTCAGAAATGAAAACAAAGAACCGTATGTTAGTCGGCTACAAATGTTGTGTTGTATATACAGCTTCTCCCCTGGGTTCTTGTTGCCCAGAAGAACACAAATAAAGTGCTTTCTGCAGCTCCTCTGTTCCTCTGGGTGTTCTTGGCACCTTTCCTTCTAGGTCTCTCACTCCCTCAAGAACCAGCTGGTTGACCCAATTCGGTGTAACGCTCACTTTGCTGTCAGGGACTCTGTCATGAAGATAAGGAAGAACAGTCAAGGCTTGACTTTCCAGCAGCTCGTGCAGCAGAGTCCTGGGGAGTTTATTTGAATGCAACCGTCTCAGCACGAGCCAACAGTGTGTCAGAGCTTTCAGAAATGAGAGCATCTCTTGAGATGGCATAAATAGAGACAGATCGCATAAAATCAGAGGTGATAGTCCAGATCTACTTTTCCCTGGTCAGACTGCTTCCATAATGTGACCATATTTAGGCCCCCCCTTTTTTTCTTTTCTTTTCTTTTTTTTTTTTTTTTTTTTGCGGTACGCGGGCCTCTCACTGTTGTGGCCTCTCCCGTTGCGGAGCACAGGCTCCGGATGCGCAGGCCCAGCAGCCATGGCTCACGGGCCCAGGCACTCCGCGGCATGTGGGATCTTCCCGGACCGGGGCACGAACCCGTGTCCCCTGCATCGGCAGGCGGACTCTCAACCACTGCGCCACCAGGGAAGCCCTAGGCCCTCCTTTATTTTTGGTGCTAAGGTGGATCATTTTATAGATTTATACTGCATATTAAATAATGACATAGTACATTTCCAATTTACATTTTACTGGGAGTGAACTGATATCCATTTTAGCAAATCTTCATTGACATAAAAAATCATTTATTTTCATCAACTTTTTATCAATAGAATATCCTCAGTTACAGACCCACTTTTTAAAAACTGTGTTGATTAATTAGATCACAGGCTTTATAAGCTCAGGCATGCTAGTGGAGCCAGGCAGCTCTGGGTTCTAATGCTGCATTCAAACCTTGGTTCTGTCTCTTAATACCTGTGTGATCTTGGGTAAGTTATTTAACCTCTCCGAATCTTAGTTTCCTGTAAGATGGTGATAATTATGTCTACCTCATTACAGTAGTTATGTGGGTTTGATGAACTTAGGTGTGGGGAATGTCAGCAAATGTGCTCAATAAATGATAGCTGTTATTGGGAGTGTGGCCAGGATGGTGAGGGGTCTGCAAATCATTTCCCATTGGAAACGGATGAGAAGACTGGAGCTGTTTATCCCTGAGATGAAAAATAAGAGGGAGCAGGGGTAGGAAAGCAAGATCGCAATCTCTAAAAAGTTGAAGAAAACATCTTGGACATTCTCTTTGTCCAAAAAAGCAAACTTGTTCTATGTTGCCAAAAGTAAGAACCAAATCTAGGGAGGTAGTCTCAGTAAGACAAATTTCAGCTCAAACGTGAGGAAAACCTTCTAGGGAATAGAGTTGTCGACCATTGGATGGGCTCCGTTGAGAGACACTGAGTTCCCCAACAGTAGAGGTATGCAAGCAGAATCTGACTGAGCATCTGGAGGAACTCTAGGGGGATGCTGGATGCTCCGTGGCATCACCTCCTATTCTATAACTCTGAAGAGAAATGGCATGAGATGGGACTCACATTCCTGATGTCAGACAATGGAGTGTACAGTACAAAAAGTCACATTTAACACTAAACAAGTGACATTAAATGTCTCTGAATTACAGAATATGGACCTGCTAACATTCAGCAATCCTTATGAGGGAAAAATACATGGATATAAGGCAGACTGTAGGATGTGTTTGCAAAAGGGATGTCTGTATCTCCACACTGGTTGCCAGTGGACTTCCCTGTGGCCTCAGCCTGATCTGCAGCTCCCTAGCTTTCTTAGGCCAGGTTATATCTAATGGTCTCAGGTTAGAGGGGAAGAGTTTCAGCACTGAGATGGAGGACAGCACCAAGCCGGCAGGTGAACTGGCTAGAAGCTACCAGCCCACCCAGCCCCAGCAGGGGGCGCTGTAGCCTCTCTTCTTGTCTGCTCTCTTCCTTCTCAGGATAGAGCCGCAGTGGGTAGAACCGGCTACCAAACCAGTGTACTAAGGAGAGTGAGATGATTATGCAAAAAGGAGGGGAGGAGAGGGAAGGGACACGCTGGGCCTCTACCTGGCTCTCACACAAATCTCCATAAACAGTGCCAGTTTTGCTCTGCATGAGTCCACAGGCTCAGAGACAGCTGTGGCAGAGAAGCCACAAGCCGGAGGCCACCCAGATGCTTCGTGCTGAAGCCCACAGTAGAGGCTGGGTCACCTGCCTCTGACGATGTTTGCTTTGCTGCTGCTGCTTCTGCCGCAGCAGGAGGAGGCCTTCAGCTACTCTCCCAGTTGCCTCTGAATGGGGGAGGGGCACAGGATGAGCTTTTGTCCTTTCACTGTAATTCAATGACACGCCTGAAACTTGCCTAAGAGGCCCCCGACTCATTTTCCTAAGTAGTGAGTGCAGTGCCAAGCATGGAAATCTGGAGTGATTAACATTTGTAGAGCATCAATTCAATTCATAAATATTTTTGAACATTTACTGTGTGCCAGGCATCGTGCCAGGTGCCTTTACATCCATTGCCGCATTTGATACTCCCAACGGCTTCTTGTGATAAGTGTCATTTTCTCATTTCTCAGGTGAGACAATGAAGACCCCTAAAGGTAAAATATTTTGTTTGTATTCATGTGGCTAGTGAGATCCTGGATTCAAACCCAGCTCCCTTCCCACTACCCTACATGGGACCTTCTCTGTTAGTTTCCAGGTAAAATCAGGCCCAAACAGGAAAAAGATCAGGCCAAATCCTTTCATCATGTATTGCAGAGTTTAGCTAGTTATACTTGATCCAAATCCTAGAGGAATTTCTAGGTTTTCACCTCCTTTCTCTTGGACCCTCTCTTCATGTGTCATGGTTGCTTCTAACAGTTGCTCACTGACGTAACCCTGCTCTGACCCAGTCTGGCAGCTAGGTATATGAAAAAGCTGAATCAGAGATTGAATTTTGAAGAAATAAAGGTACAAGAGCAAACATTCAACAGTTGCTCTCCGCACTAATGGAGCTCACACAGACAAAAGAATGGCATGTCATGGTACGTGTACCTTGCAATAAATCAATATTCTATTAAACTGTACTGATGCCATTTAAAAAAAAAAAAGCAGAAAGTAAGTTTCCAGGCTGGGTGTATGTTCAAGATTTCAGGAACTTGTTAGCACCTGCTGATGAAACCCTACCTTCTTCCCATCTCTCATTCCCACACACCTATCTGAGTCCCTACTGGGCACTCCAACAGCGTAGGGTTTCATTTATCACTTGACATGCAAAAGCTTCTAGATCTTCCAGGATTCCTGGAAGCTCAGCAAGGTAGTTGTTACCGGGCCCATCCCGGCACCTTCTGGGTTACTGACCCCGGGAAGCTAATCTAGTTCAAGTGTTGTATCATTCCCTCCTCAGTGTGTGAGCTGAGCCCACTGTGTCCCTCAATTTTTGTTCAGATATTTTCTTTGAGTCCTGCCTCCTGAGCACTTTAAGGGCACCAAGATTAGAGGTCGTTTCCCTTATGGCTCAGCTCAGCCACTGGGGTACCAGGACAGACAGAATAGGGGAGACATTATAACATAATAGGGACAGCCTGGGCTAAAAGAGTCAGGTAAACTGAAATGTGAATCCTAGCTCTTCCATTAACTAAC